GTGTATTTACCTTCCCTTAGTAAGGATACTAAGTGGCGTAAATACAAAGTCACCAAGTCTCCATAGGAACCTTCAGATGCTATGTGCTTTGGTAAAATTTGAAAGAAAACACTCAAGAGCAAGATGGATCAATATTTGGAAAAGGACCTTCTGTTGTGTTGTGGGACTGTTTCTCCTCCAGACCCTTTGGGAACTTCATTACAGAGCACAGCCAATATGAACCTCTTGAAATACTCTGAGATTTTAAATAAAAATGTGATGCTCTATAACGGAGAACTGAAAGGGAGTCATAAACAAGATCATGAACTAAAACATATGGCCAAATCAACAGAATACCAGAGACAAACTAACTTTTTTCATGCTCATCTCAGTCCCTATTCTGTGTACTCTGACATGAGGTAAGTAATTAAAAACTGTTAGGGAGGGAAAAAACTTATCCAAGTGAAAATTACCAGGTTTATTACTATCAGCTAAGACCTAAAGATTCTTTAATGTCTATTTTATACCTGAGCTCAGAAAAAAAAAAACTAAAAATGGGAACAGGTGCAGAAAACAACATCTGCCGCGCCATAACCTTCAAAGTCTTATGTTAGACAAGTATGGCCTAAGATTTCACAATATTGTTGCTATGAAATTTTATAAGCATTAAAATAAAACATGACATGACAGGATTTTTAGATTAATAAAGTTACAAGATATTTGATTGAAAATTTTGATAGGAGAATTTTCCCACCACAGTACTAAAATAAGAAGTTTTAATTGTTTACAAATAAATTAGAAACTCAAGCAAATAAAAATCTGGCATACTGCAAGTGAAAATTTTAGAATTATAAATCCAATATTTCTGCTGGATTAGTTTTAATATGATGACAATATCATATTAGTGATGGTAATAAAGCTCCAATGTTGCTTTTATTGTGCAAACATATCACAGAAGCACAAAACATGTGCTATGAGTGAACATACAAGTCCAGAATTAAGAAAGAAGTGATTGTTATTAATCTGATGAACTTGGCTGTAAGCAGATCACAGTCTTCTTCAACTTCTGTTTTTCACACCTCCGCCTCCTCTGTTCTTCACTTTTTCTCTGCTAAGCTCTTCTTTTCATTAGACTTAAGTCCCTGATTTGTATTCCAACATAAGAGTCAAGATTAAAGTAGGCTTGGAGAAAAAAACAGCATCATTTGCATGATGCTTTCACCGATTAAGCTAAGCGTCCCTCTTAATTGTGTTGTTTTGCACATGGTGGGGCTCTCATGGTGTTACTCTGTAGATCCCATTCATACCAAGAAATCTTACCAATTTGCTTCAATTTCCTTCCCGCTTCACCTCGTCTAGTTTACAACCCTACCTTTGGCATACATATGGCAGGTTAGATAATGATATAATACTGGATTATGGTCTATCAGCAGCTAAAGAACAGCATGAAGAACACTTTGCTCCCTCCTGATTTTCTCAGTTGTTTCTTTCTCTGTGTGCCATAGAGACTGCCACCTCTCTTTTCTAATCAAATAGGCAGTGAGGGCTTGACACAGATGTAAATTGCCACACTTCAACGTGAAACTGCCCTAAATGCATTACAGGTGATTTGATGGGGTTGAGAGAGAGGACACTCTTTTGTTATGGGGGAAGAAGAAACAGACAGTCTAGCACAAATTACATTGCTGCAAAAAAAGCATGCTTTGGCAGAAAACCAATAATGAAAATATGGTTGTGACTTGAAAAGCCTGAAGCATCTTGCTTATGCAGCTTGGACTCTTAAACCAAATCACATTCAAAACATGATCCAAAAATTTTATTTGGCTATCAATCCTCGTAAGGAGGTAACAAGAACCAAACAAATACAGCTTAGCAAAACATATTAAAAAATCACTCCATATGTAATCTGCACATACATATGGCATATATTCAGACTAGGATTAGGTTTTATAACAAATTATGCTATCTTGAGGAAACTATGAGGACCCCCCAAAGCTTTCAGAGAAAGCCTTGGGGGTTGTCAAGATTTTATTTTGGTTAATGTGGAACAGGTCTTTGTGTTCTTTTTGGTCACCTTAATCAAGACGAGTGAGACCTGCAGTGCTTTAGACGTTCTGGGGTTTTTTATGACCTGCTGGATGAGTCCTGGATGAGCTCTTAGATTAATTTCTGTAGGACAACATGTTCTGTGAATTCCCAACTGTTCCATGCTTTTTTTCACAGCTCTCACAGTAATTCACGTAAATAGCTTTGAAACCTGTTTTAGCCTGATAGATATCAATGATTTTGTTCCTCATCTGTTGTTTAATTTCTTTAGATTGGTGGACGATATTGCTTTTCGAGATCTTTAAGCCTACATCATATTGTCAAACAACATGACATATTTTGATTATGTAAATTACATTTTTACTCTGAGCAACATTGTTTTTGGAAAGTTAATGAACTTAAATAGATAAAACAATCAATAAAAGTGTTGATGAAAATATGTTATTTGTATGGGCTGTCTTTGTCTGATATTAAAAATTGTTTGATAACCTGACACTGAAACATACAATCGAGAAGTGATCTGTAGTGAGGTAAATCATATTTCATAGCACTGAACATTATTTCACCATGTAGATTCCTTTTGAGTGGGACTGTAGTAACAACACAAAGTACCAGTCATCCAACAGAAAGTACAGCTCGAGTGAAACATAATTCCACCACTCTAGAGAATTCAGTGGCATTGGTCTGTGGGTCAGGTGCATTGTTCTCTTGTCACATTCAATACAGCATAAGTCCACATGATTCAGTAACGGATAAAGTGGTTCACTGCATTCCCCCATTCTTCTCAAACTGGAGCTATCTGTCACATAACTCCATAATGAAAAAGGGATTCTTGGCCATTCAATGAGTGCAGATTAATAACAAGTGTTCCCTTGTTTCAATATGAATGTCAAACACCTTTTGCAAAACAAATGAGAATAATAAGGAAGAGAACTTGACATAAACATTTCGTCATAGAATTAGCGAATTAAAAGAAAAAAAAAACACAAAAATAACTTTGGGCTTGTTTCTTTACTGTAGGTTTTAATTGGAGATTTGGAGTGTTTGTGTTGCTTTGTGCACATAAAAAGAGTGTTTTATGTGCACTACAGGTGGAGGATTCGGAAATGCCAAACCATAACTTGTGGACTTTGCAAATGAGAAGGGGGGTGAGGGGTACAAAAGAAAAAAAGATGATTCTCAGTGCAGACAGGGCAATTGCATTTCCTCACCATCACATCACAAATTATGTGTTGACAAATAATGTCAAGACAGAGTCTGTACATTGGAAAGTGGGGTGGAGGCGATGAAGAGATCAAAACATACTCCCAGTCCACCTCCCTGCCTCTCTGTCTGTATTTGAATTTGTCTTGCATTATTTTTGGTATGTTTCAGATATGGTCTGGTACCGTGCAACCTCAGGCAACTGTCTGACTTCAGATGACGTCAGATTTATAGGTGACACATATCATTAATGAAGCAAACTTAATTTGCTTTAGCTTCATTAAGGCCATTGATTTTTTTTTATACTGATAGATGTTTGCCCTCAAAAGACTGACTGAAGATCCATGCAAAACAAAATATGCTGTTTCTTGACAAATACAACTAACAATTGTGTGTCAACAGCAAGCAACAGCTGGAAGCATTTCTTTTCTCGTATATGCTCACGTGTTTGGGCGGGACCTCCATAGTGACCGGTGGCTTTTGGTCAGGGGGTGGACAGCTGCTGAAAGCTGAAATTGTGGGTGAGCCTCTAGAGACAACACATCTCTAATTGACCCTACATGTGAGCCCAGGGAGCAAGTTTGTCCTGCATCTTCTCAGCCTCTGTGCAAACTAATTCCATTTACAAGCCACCGTGTTTCGGAAGGAACGTTTTTATATTTTTCTTAGAAAAATATAAAAACGTTTGGTAACATTGGGTTTGTCAAATGTAACTTTTGGTCATGCAGGGAATGCTAATACTAATATGTTGAGTTTTCTCAGAAATGAATATTTAGCCCATCAACTTGATAAAATTAGGAAGAGTTGTACAACCAATTCTTGAGGAAATGTCTTTGCTGAAGCAGTATTTCAGTTTGTATCCGTATTTCTATAGTTTAGTGACAGTGCTAACTGCTAAAGGCAAAACTGCTGGCAAGATGAGATTCTTAGCACTACATACAGTGGCAGGTTTCAGCACATCGCCAGAAGAGATGCAACCTTACCAATAGTTCACCCAACAGGGCTAATGGTAAAATCAAAATTGTTAATGAGAAAAAAATTTTATCCAGTCATTGCAAAGGTAAGGCCCATCTTTGCTGCAGTTCTTGGGGAATTAATTTGAAAAAGTTTCAACAATGTTTCATTTTAGTGCATTCATTTGTTTGTTTTTTGTTTTTTTTTATCTTGTGAGGACAAACCAAACACGCAAAACGATCTTTAAAAATTGTATTTATGAAAATGTAGCTAAATGACTGCATCTTAAAATGTACTTGAAATGTAACTGATTTATTCCAGAGTGCTTAGATGCTACAAAAGCCCAGCTTTAGAAACCTACACGTATAAAGTGCAGCACTTTCATTGGTTAAGCCAAAAAAACGTTGCTTTATCAGTCTAGTGTATCTTTGCTATAACTAATATATTTGGTGCCAAATACAAAACCCCTTTAAAATACAGTCTACCTACTGGGCAAGGTTAAAAAGAACATTTCCTTTTTTTTTCTTTGTACAATCAGGTTTTAGGAGTTTAAGAAGAATCTAAACAGAATCTTTAACATTCGCCCACTCTAATAATAGGGTTATTATTATTATTATTATTATTATTATTATTATTATTATTATTATTATTATTATTATTATTATTATTATTATTTAATAATAATAATGAAACAGCATTGTCCAATCTTTGGCTCTTGCACCGAGCCTGCAGCTCAGGGAGCATCTTATTTTGGAGGTTTGGCCCAGCAGTCTGTCCCCTCGGTGGTCCTCCTCTCTCTGCAGACTTTTATAGTCGGCGGATGTGGGCGCCTCACCGCCGTAAGACACCCACATACTTTCTCTCTGCGCGTCCATTTGAACGGGACTAGATGATGAGCGCCAAATAACACGAGACCCGTCCACGGGAAAAGGAAAAAAAAAAAAAAGAAAGAAAGAAAAGTTTGCACCGATTCAGTTCTTCGGTGATGTGAAAACCTCGAGTGGAGGAGATCTGTACAGGACACGGGCCGAAGGGGAAAAACTGCAGGATTCGTGCAGGATTCGTGCCTGCTGGAGCTCGCGCTGACCATCAAATGACCAACTTCTGAAAAGTCGATCTGGGCTGTTCTTGCAGTTTCTCAGCTCGCCAACTTCGCAACAAGTAAGTTTGGTCCTGCTTTGAAAAAGCGCACAGCGAGTCGAGGTCGTGCTTTGAAATGCTGATGCACGTCTCGGGAGCATTAATTGCCACACGTTCTCCTTTGCTTGTTGCAAAATCTTTTCAAGCACTTCCATAAACACGAATGCGGACAGCCTCCTGCAGTTTGCAGAGAGTAATATGCACTATTAGTAAAAGCATATGCGTAGGACACTGAAATAGATTAGCCTACTAAATAAGACTCGAGTCTTGCCAGAAGTGACCAGCCAGGTGTTGGTTTGATGGATGCAGACTGTTGCCTTCTCAAGTGTGTCTGCAGTGCCTTGCTCAGTTATTCATAACCTTTCATAGAGTTTCACGTTTTGTCACGTCTGAATCGCAAACTTCTACGTATTTTTGTGTGATAAATCAACTCAAAATGAGACAATGTAAAGAAATTAACAAGGTTTTCTCGATTGAGATGCATCTATATATATATATATATATGTATAAATATTAAAATCAGTTGAGTCAAAAATTAATTGTAGAACCACCTTCCAACATGTATCACTGAAATATTTGTCCCTCCTTTTTTTCTTTTGCAAAATAGTTGAAACTCTTGCTGCATATCCTCAACTGTAAGTCTGGACTTTAATTGAGCCAGTAAAAGTAGACAAATTTCCTTCATATTTGAGTGCATTTTTGAAAACCGCAGTTGGATAATATTGTGAAATGATTGCAATACTGTTCATGACATTTGTGATTATGACCTTGATTGTGATCACATTGTATTCTTGTCTCTTTATTTAAAAAAAAAAAGTAAAATCTTGACCAACCTCTGAGTTATAGCATCTCAACCACTAAAAAAAATGCTTAGCAGACATATGACCAAATATATCACTGATAATAACATTTGACAATTGAAATGCATCATCTTATAAAATGACATAAGAAATTCTTGTGGTTGTGAAACTGCATACAACCAGAATGTCGGAATGTTTAATATAATAAATGTGCTTATGTGGTTATTCACATCGAATACCACATTTATCTAAATAGCACTGTGAAAAAAGAGTCAAAAATTTACAGTAAAATACTGGCCTCCTCTGTGGTTACCATAACTTTATTGTATAAATCCAGCAAAGTTTGATTTATATTGTATGTTAAAATACTGGCAACCCAGAGCTGCCGTATTTTACCAGAAATTAGAGATTGAAATATTTTTAAAAAGACCATTTGTATTATGTGTCTAATGTCTGGTTTTATCAAGACAAATTCCATATTATCTTGCAGGTCGAATTGCATGCATTCACTTGTTGGAACTATTTGTGCAGCAGAAAATAAGGCTTGTAGTGACACAGCAGCACTCACCAGGTCACCAATGCCTCATCTGTTTAGGCAGATGAGGCGATGAATTTTATGAGACATTTGCTCCATCCGTCTCTGTGTCTGCAAAAGTGCATTTGTAACTTTCTACATCTGACAGCTCAACAACTCTCTGAAACCATTACATTTTACATACGTCCATTTGCGCCTCGCCGTCATAGAATGGTTGCCAGGATGTGGCGAGAAACAGCTTTTCTAAAGCAAATTAAAGAGGCTGCATACCTGCGTTTTCTTATGGAAACAGGAGATTTCTTTGTTCTCTTGGGTTTAATTCTGCAGGTTTAACTAATGATTGTTCTTGATTTGTACAAAACCCTGAAACTTATTAAAACATTGATTTTTGTTTTTACTTCTCAGCTGTTATAATTTGCGCAGCACATATTTCCTCGTCACTGGACTCATTTGTTTTCATGTGTTTAATGCACATGTCTTCCTTTTGTCCAGCATATGCATACGCCCCCGACCTCTCTTTTCCTCTCTTGCTTTTCATACACACAGACGTGAGTGGTGTTTTGCAGATGTGTGACCCAATCCGCTTCCAGCCGAGGCTCATCTCATGCCAGTGTGCTGACTCTAAGTTTTCCACACTCTCTTATGAAATAGGAGTAGGAGACATTAGAACCATCCAGTAGCCAGGCTTGAATGGCTGTGGAGCACACACATGTAGACGTGTTCAAGTTGAAAGTGCACGCTTACGGCCATATGTTCTCACCGTGACCACCTATATATCCAAATATAAGCGCACAGGCAGGGGATGGTAAATATACGTCAAACAGTCCATAGGCTGTAGGAGCAGCTGCAGCCTGTAGGTCTTTTGTTTGACTCAAACAAAGTCTGATGTTTATTTTAAAAAAGCAGCTGGCAGGAAAAAAAAGAGTACATGTCTTTTTTTTATTATTATTATTCTTATAGATAGAAATCTGAGGTGTTGAGTGCTTTTGCTTTCAACCCACTTAGTCTGATTCCCCCCTAAAATGAATTGTGCAACATTTAGAAATCACCAGAGTGTGATTTGATCTCAGTATAAATAAAGATCCATCTCAGTAAATTAGAATAAATGTTCCAATAAGTTTGTCTGTCAAATTAAAAGTACCTTTTGAAACTTCATTAAGCCCACCTTTCTGTGTTAAAATATTTATTGGCCTCTTGTAATATTATCTTAATCTTAAATGGCCTGTTTTCGTTAGCTGAAAGTGGAAAATCATCATGATTAAGTGAAAGAAAGGATTCAAAACATCAGTCTGTTCATAATTAATTTGCATAATGTGTTTCACTTTGTGAATTCAGTTGCTGAAATAAATAGTCTTAATTTATTAAATGCTTACCCCCTTCCCACGGTGTTGCTTGTGGTGATGCTTTTCTTCAGCAGGACAGGGAAAGAGGCCACAGTTGATGGGAAGTTAAATAATCCTGTTGCACGACCACAACCCTAAACTTGTAGTAGGAGATACTATGAAATGGTTTAGATCAAAGCATTTTGCTGTCAGAGTGGCTCCTAATTCATTCATTAGTTTAATTAAGACTCTGTGATACGAATTGATACTTTTCCTTCACAGATGCTGTTGAACAATCTGACGGACGTTCAAAATATATTTCCCTGAAAATAACAGCTTCCCCCACCTCTCTCTTTTGTAAATGAGGAAACAATGAGAGGTGAAATAACACACACTGAGGTTGACCCAGCATGTACTTTAGAAAGCATGAGCTACTTGATACGAAATCAAGCAAGACCAACAATGCATCACCAGTGTCTGTGTCTGTCTTACAAACAAATGCCAGTACATCTAACACAGTGGTCACTGTTGATGTCAGAAGATCAACCAAAACTCTCCAGGATTTTACCGTTTTACACACAGCATTGATGTAACAGCAAAACAGTTGTACTTGCCTCCTGCCTTTTTGGTATTGGTGTCATCTGTTTACAAGTAAACATTTTGAGGGCCTGTTTCAAGTGCACAGACATATTAGCTCTCAATTTTATTTTTATACTCTATCTTGTAGATTAATTCTCTCAGCTCTTCATTGTATATACTTTGAATGATCATTTTACGAAATGATAGCTGAGTCTGTGAGATACTGGCAACATAATCAAGAGTAAGAGTAAAAGAAAAACTGCAGTCTTTTCAGAACATGGGTTTTCATGAATTGTAGGGAAGTGAACGGTTGAGCATAGAACTGCATGAAGATAGTGAAAGATCAGTGACAACAAAAAGGCCAAAAGACAAGTAAAGATGTTGGCAAGATGTTGGGGATAAGTTGATGCCTGTTTGTGTTTGATTTAATTTAAGCCATAAGCGTGAAGTAGCGACACGGCGGAATAAGCTGCCTGCTCAGCCAAATTGAAAAATTGCCCTGCTTATAAATAAAAGATTCTGTAAAGATTGTCATTTCAATTTCAATGCTTGTCTTGATAGAAGAAAACAGGCCAGGTGAGAAGGTGAAGAGGTGAAAGGAATGTTTTACTTATTTAATTAGAGTGTATTAATGAATTTGTGCTGTTTGGATAATTTTGTTTTGATCTATGACATCAGCAAGTATATTTTAAATGTATTTTTTGAAAAGCAGCCCTAAGCCATAATAACAGGATGCTGATCAAGCTGTTAATATCGGTTTGGTAAAAAAATATTCAAGAGAAAAACCTTGAATATTTTCTCTTCCATGTAAAAAATTAACACCTCAACTTTTTTCTAATTTTGTGGGATTGACCAGTTTTACTTTTTTTCAGCCTGACAACCAAAATGTCTTACTTCTCATCCAAGATTTTATTCATTTAAGATGCTTTATGGCATCTTAAATGGATAGGATCCATTTAAGATTTTAAATGGATTTAAATGGCCTTCATCCCATAATTACGTTTAAATGCATTTCTATCAGGATTTACTCAAACCTCAAACAGCTTGAGGTTTTGAAATGTTGGTTTCACTGGACTGGTAATAGAGTAATTAACAAGGTCATGCAAAATTGATTCATATATTTTCTACCAATACAGCACGATCTGATCACAAACTTTGAGGTTTATATGAATGAACCTCAAAGTTTGTGTCAGGGTGTACATAATAATAATTCTCTGTTCAGTATCTTTCTGTTTTTTTGGTATGTGTGTCAAAAGACTATTTCAGAAAAGTGTGCATCAAAATTACACATTTGCTTTTAAACCGAATGAAAAGGCCAATTTACTTACATTTCACTTTTTCAAGGTTTTCTGTTTTGAACATAATAATACATGCACAAATTAATGGATAAAACACACAGATCCCTACTTATAGGTTCTATGACCTATAAGTCATAGAATGTTAAAGCAATGATGATTAATAAAAGTTGAAATATTCTTTTAATTACCACATTTCCTCACCATGCATGTTTTGCTGATATTTTGGGCCTGAGTTTGGAATACCTAACGTTGACAGTGACATGTCAATGTCTCTTATGATGCACAACATTATTGCATCAACAATTCATAGTTTCCCCTTCTGCTTCAGTAGAATGCTGATGGAGTTCTTCTCTTTTCAAGAAACAAGAAGTCCAGAACCTTCTTTTTACTCACTTGGGATCATCTTGAACTGGGTAATGAGAATATACACCGACGACTTCTAGTTTTACAATGTAAAAAATGAAGTTGCAGCTCAAATCTTAAGCTGTCATGTTCTCGTCAATGACTACACCTAAACTGATCTTTTAAAAAAAAATGTTATGATACCTAGAAATAGTACTTAGGTTGAAAACAGCTATGCTCTTCAAGCTTATGAACTGATTAAAAGTCCATTCCCATGTTCACTTTGTCATTTTCTTTCTGTGTCTTCAGATGTTTGAAAAGCTTTCAGTATGCACAGAGGTTGCAGTTTACATGTGCCCTGTGTTCTCTTTAGAGGAACTTCAAGTTGAACTCAGGCTTGCAACATTGCTCTTTGGGTGTGTTTGTGGTTACGTGTGCTTTTATTCTGTTTTTAATTCAGTTAAGAGAATCTTAACAGAGATTGAATGACCTCTCTCCCCCTGACCTTTTGATTTTCTTTGCTTTCACCCTTATACCACCATCCTATTTATTCCTGACTCCCTCACCACCTCACCTCTCATCCGATTTGGAACAAACAGAGATGATTAATAGAAATTTGAGGAAAAATGTCAGAGGCATGTTATTGGCAGTGAGGTGACAAGTCAAAGTGTGCATAATGCCTGTGTATGTATGTGTGTGCTCATGTTGCATAGATGCATGTGTGCTTTATGAAAGCAGTTTTGGGAAAAGGATTGACCTCAGATGTTTACCAAGGGAACCCGGGAGACTTGCTGAGCCTCCCTCTTTTCTTATTGGACCCTTCTGCTCTTCCTGGAAATCTGGGAGCTTGTCATTGGCCTAAGCAGTTAGGAAAATGAAGGATAAAGGTACTGCCCTGGCAGTGCTTTCGCAGACACTTTAAAGGATTAGCATGAAGTGAAACATCAGAGGAGCTCTTTGGGATTAATTTAGTTTGGTTCTTCCACTCATGACACAATAGACTTTGAAAGAAGAGACAATGCAGAAACAAAGAGAAAAATCACCATTAGGCCTAATTGCCCTAATGGCGATGCTCCAGTTAGAAGATTAAGAGTATAATTGCACGGATCATAAGTAAGGGGGAGACCAAATTATTCTAAAGATTAGACGAAGTAGATCAACGCAGAAACTGAGCAACACGTTAAGTGGGATATTCTACCCACTCCAGATGAGCCTGCTGCTTGACAGCTCTGTGCCATGAATTCCTGCATTGTATAACTTGGCCTTCTTGGCCTCTGGACACATGGCATTCAGACACATACACAGGCTCACACACTTCAGCCTGAAAGTTTAATATAAAGAATAAAGTTGTTGCCCAGCACCCAGAACTTTGATTCACTGTGAAAGTCTGAACATTCCTGCAAACATTCATTTTCAGTTGTTGTTGTCTAATGTTAAATTTTTTCCCCCACTATTTGGATAAAACCTTGTTTTTTCATGACTTAGGATTGCATTGTTTATTAAATCACGTAAAAGATGTCCAATGAACAGGAGAATATAAGATTAAGAAGAAAGTTTGGAGTGTCAGCCAGCATCCGAGTTGGGAAAAACACATGTAGAGGCACAAACTCCACATTCAGGGTAGCTGGCTGCCCAGCAAACGTGCAGCACAGCTGTAAATAGCTAAGGGTGTGGACTGAAGGTTTGGCCTATATTTAGAGGTTGGACTTAACTTCGAGAAGTTGTCCACCAGAACATTCTGAATGACCAGGGAGAGTTATCTGATGTTTTACACTATCTCTTTTGGAGAAAAAAAATTGTTTTGTTGAAAAGAATAGCCTAGGGAGTTGACAGTTTTTACAAGTGTATATTACGCTATAGATTAGTTTCTTTATTGCTGCATGATGGCAGTCAAAAGACACACAACCCCCTTTACACTGAAGGAGAGCCTAATTCTATGAAAACTTATAAAACTACTCTAAAAATATAGGTTAGTTGTCCTTGCAATGTGTCAACCTAGAAAAAGTAGAGTAAAAATGTCTTTTAATTTTTAATTGTCTTATTCTTAAGACAATTAATTGGTCCACTCAAACTGCAAACAATTACACATTGCTAACTGCAGTGTGTTTTGGTCATTTCAGCCTTGTGACCTTTTTTTTTTTACCTTTGCAGTTTTACTCGTCTCAACAAAGACATTGGATTTTTTATTTATTTTATTATTTTTTACCAACTATAATTTCATTAATATCCACAGTGGATGTTTTATTTTTTTTACCAACTATAATTCCATTAATATCCACAGTGGCGATGCTTTGTACCTACATTTGACGAACTTTCTATATGTCTGTAAGTGTCTGTATTTTGAAATATTCTCTGTCTATTACATCCATTGTCTTGCTTTTATCAACTGGTACTGATTTAGGATGAGCTCCAACTATTTAAGGTGGATGGTTTTCTTGACATAACACTAATCTTTAGCTCTACTACCAATATTGGGTATAAGATAAAAATATCCAAAAAAATAAGATTAAATTGAACTGTACATTTTCCTTCAACTGCACAGCTAAGGGCTGCTTTGAACATTGAAGTCTGTGTTTATTTTTGACAAAATATGAAACATTAACTTTCCTGTTAAGGTAAAAAAAAAAAAACAAGTTTAATTAGAAATTTCAAAAAACAGCTTCATAGATTAGTCTTTTAAATTCTGAAGAAACAAAAGCCAATACTTTTACTCCTGTCTCTTGTTAGGTTACACCAGCTAAAAGTAAAATTTAAAATGCCACCACAATTTGCACACTCAGGCAAGCAGAAAAGAGAGAGCAAGTGGGAGAAGGAAGGTTAGCTTCACACAGACGTGTCATTGCGATGTTTAACTAATATTTACAATCACTGTGTTTGTCCCTCTCTTATTCAATTCCCTCTCTTTCTTTCCAGCATCATGGGTATCTTGCTCTCCTCCAACCTTTTTCTCCTACTCCTGGTTTCTGTGTTGAATTGGCTCCCCACTCCTGCATCTGCATTTCTCATCAACTGGGACCGCACGACATCATCAGGTGAGTTACTGATGTTTCAACTTAAATACCCGGGAGGAAATGGTACGATGTCGGAACGAATCGTACCATTCATCAATGCATGCTCTATCAAATATTAACAAATTAAATTCGATTTTTTGCTCAACGTGCTGTCGACACCTGTTATCAAACCTTATGTCAGACATCAGTTGCAGAATGATGTGTTTACTTGGATACATGTGGAAAAGTTCACTGTTGAGCAAACGTTGCACTTTCCCGACTTGTTGGTGATCAATAGTGCTAGGGTAAACATATGGCTGGAGCTGTACTGTCAAAGTTCAGGGACAGAGCAATGCACAATGTTCAGCCAACTAATCTCGTTGTCACTGGATCATTTAAAGTAATTAGGTTAAAGAATGCTGGGGCTGGCTCGAGATGCGGACCAGATTTTATGTATTTTTCCACTTTCGATCTTTAAAGCCACAAAACTTACAATAAGAATTTTTAAATGAATGTTGAACTATGTTTTATGGCTTTTTAAAACTGAACAGAAAAAGCACAGTGGGTCTCAGAAGCGGAGAGACTCTTGTTGAAATGTCTGTTTTTGTGAAAAAAAACCCCATAATACCAAGTCAAATCATTTCACTTGGTTGAGGCTAAATTGTGTGTGACATTTGTCTCACACCATTCAACTGAAAACAATTCATACAAAACTTACAACTATTTTCTTGCATTTTGAAATACTTACTTGAATTTTATAATTGAGTTTTTAGTATTCATTCATATTGAGTTATACCTTTACATAGAATTTGATGACCTTCGAATAATGTTTAATTGTCATTTCCAGACTTTCCACATTTCCATTCTTTAGCTTATTGCCATGTTTTCATAAAGATTTCAAAAGATCTTAGATTTCAAGAATATCAGTCAGGAGAAGGGTGCAAAGTATTTCACAGCATCACCTGCATACCATGGGACAGCTACCAATATTTGCAGAATATTAAGGACAAAAGGGGGGGAATGTCCAATGGACCTTTTTCTAAAATCATTGAAAAAGCAGGAACTGATCGACACTGGAGGAAATTCCAACAAGGATATTCAGTCACATGTCATCTGCATGTGACTGAATATAAGAGTAAGTTCTCAGACTTTGAGTTGTCCTCCATGTCTGAATATTTCTGAAAAAACCTTTACAAGGCTCACTTCACAAATATTGCCACATCAAGATGTGGGATGTTGACAGATTTCCACCAAAGAAAACCAAATGGTGATACTTAATCCAAAAGTACTTCATTATATAACCAGGGCAATTGCAATAACAGCTTTATTTTTCAGTTAACTTTTACTGTATAAATATTACATGTGGAAATTGTGATCGAAAGGAATTATCATTATCTCATTGTGTTGACATTACCAACTGCTATCTGCCCCTAGCAGCTAAAGCAGCTTCAGTTGAAATTGGGTAAAATACGAGAACTTTGGCAGCACCTGTTTATTTAAGCGCCATCTCTGCCAGGACAGCAATTCTCATAGCCAAAAAGTGGCAACTGCGAAATATAAATCTGTTCTAGGGTGTCTGTATTACATTCTCGAATGGAAATGGAGTTGGCAGCTGTTTCTGACTTGTGATATATAAAGCTTACTTATTCAAGAAGGATTACCAACCAGTTTCTCTTTTAACCTGTGTCATTAAAGAACTTGGTTCATGGGTACTTAACAACACAGCCTTTATATCTTCCTTTTTAGCAAAAGTCTGGAAAATCCATTTACAAATAAAATCTAATCTTTTTCTTAATAAATAGATTTCAAAAAGTTGTCTCTGTTTCCCTCAGAAATAATATGAGACATTTTAGTTATTTCACATGTTGGATTCATTCTGCCAGAGATAAACATAGAGCTTTGGCTCACACTGAAGGATCAGCATTTCTGTTGAGTAAATAGCATTGACAGCACTTAGCAGCTGAACAAAAGTTGTTCTTTGAACGGGCATTCAGAGAAGTCAGGGAGTATTTCATTAGGTGCATCTGATCATTGATTTTATTGATTTGTGCTCATCCCGTGTAAATCATTTCTCATTTTGCTGCTGAAACATCTGTCTGGTGTTGCCTTTTGAAAAGAGCACACAAGTGTCAAGAGAAACCATGTGTCATTAAAGTTACAGAAAGCTACTGGATGCCACAGGGGTTGTTAATGTTATTAATAGGCTAGTGCTGTTGACAACACAGTGTAATTTAGTTATTTTGTTGTTGTTTTTTTATGTTAAGGTATTACAACGTTGTGTTTTGTGGCAGTGTTTTCTGGTTTGTAGTGTCACTTGGCAACCCAAAAACATATAGAAGCTCATAAAAACCGTCTAAACCTAGTTGTGTTGGTGGACGCAAACACGTCTCTTTTTATTGGCGATTTGGTCGTAATTTTCATGGCAGCGTCTGACAAGAAAACAACCCTTTACCAGTACACTTCTCTGTCTTTTGTGTGGGTTTAGTGAAAAACAGCTGCAGACATACCACTGGAATCCAGCGGAGATAGCCAGCACATTTAGTCTTCTTCTGCACTCTATAATTCAGCTCCTCAGTGGGGCACCCTCTCATAAGTGTGTCTTTATCATTATTACAATTTGCTGACAGATACAGTTCACTTTTCTCAAATAGTTCCCAGCAGGGGTAAAAAAAAAAAAAAAACTTCAATGTATTGGTGTTCCTGTAGATTTTGTTCAAAGAAATTAAGCTGTTCTTTATTCCAACTGATTGCAGGTTGTTACAGTAGTTCAGGATAGACCAAGCAAAACACTGTAGAAAGGAGTATAATTTTATAGCTACCCTATTAGTGTTTATGTTCAATAGCTTGGGTTAATAATTGGGTAAGGCGCAACATATTTCAACAGTAATTAGAAAGTATAAAAATGTAGATAATTACATCAGTTGTTGATTATTTCTACTGCCACCTGGTCTACAAGAGGAAACACAAAAAAAAACACCCAAATTTAAAAATGAGTCAATAGCTTATGTATTTTCCACACACATAATACTATTTCATAGCACAGTCAAGCAAATATGTTACCTTGAGCTGTCATAAAATTGCTGTATATCAAAGCAAGCTTAACTTTCTCTAAAACAAACTGCTGATGGCTCGACCGGCCCGCCTCTTCCACTCTTCAAATTGTTTCCAGAGAGCACGGCAGTAATGCAGTCCTGGTCTTCCTCAACAACCGTTAAAACATTTGTAAACACAAAGCAGCCAATGATAGCAAGAACAAACACAGACAGCCTACGTCTTTTTCAAACTACCAGAACAGCATCCTACCCTGACATTCATTTACAGCCTTCAGGTTCACCGTCTTTCTGTGTCTCTCTCTGTCTCTCTTTCTCCGTGTCTGCATAAAACTTTTTTTTGTCTCACCTGTCAACCAAAGTGGCTTTCCTGGGACTGTGCCTCATGTCATATCAGCCACAAAACAAGCAAAGAGTAGATATGTGGAGATGCTTCTATGCAGTTAAAGGCTTACCAGAGTAATTATAGGCAGTGTTCGTCTCTGTCTTCACAGTCTACTTTTTTTCCTTAGCGTGTCTTCCATGATCTTTTTTTGTTTGAGTGTCTCAGGAGGATTCATATACAGAATGAGGCTGTGGCCTTTGCTACAGTGGTGGTAATTAGTGGTAGCTGTGCAGAGGTTTCGGTTTGATGTTTCTGGCTCGTTCACAAAATCCTTCTGTTACATCGGCTTCAAGAACGAGCCATGAGTGTGACGAACAAACACAACAAAAAGGTAGAGCTGGATGTCATATCCAGGAAGACATATAATATATGAGAAAGTTTCAAATCATCAATCCAGTTTAGAAGATAACTGGATTGTTAATACTTATGGGGGAAAAAAACACACACAAAAAACTAATTCAATAAAAGTTATTAATAGGTAATAAAATTTAGTTGATAAGCTAAACGCAAGTTCTCTTAAGAAGTGTGGAACATTATGGATTGCAAGTAAGCAATTGAATTTAGTCAAGTAGCAATTTATTAATGTACAACCATATTTACAGCACTATTTAAGAGTGGCAGTATGTGAGAGTGCAACTTAAAGCTAAGTTAAAAATATAATATATAATTCTGCGGCAGACTGGTGACCTGTCCCCGTCTCTCGCCCGAAACGTTCCCTGCAGATAGGCACCATCACCCCTCATGACCCCAATGGGGACAAGGTTGTACAGAAAATGGATGGATGGGATAAAAATATAGTTAAACTCACTCTAATAGTTGCAATCCTTTGTCCATTTTGTGATGCTGCAAAAAGGGTGAAGCTTGATGGTTCATATGTATTGTCTGTCTTACTGAATTTTTATTGCTGTTGTAATGTCTTTCCTTGATAAAATTTCCTTGACGCCACCTGAAGGCAGATTTTTGGGTCTTTACAGTTTAACTGACCAGTATAGATTTTAGCCAAAAGACACCAAAAGAGTACTCTAACGCAATCATAAAGTTACACAATATAGCTAATAATTATTTAATACTGTTCCTTGACCTTTCAATACATTTCTTTGCAATTACTAGTCTTTTGATATTTCATTTCCATAACTCCTAATTTTATTTTTCTGACAAATTCAGCTTACAGGATTTTTAGAGAAAAAGCAATTCTTCTGTTTTTTTTTTCCTCCCTGTTTCTCCATAAATCTTTATTCAATTTATTAGTTAGTGCACTGTATTTTTAGTCAAATCTAATAGGTGTGATTGACATAAGGAAGAAAACATTACACTGAGTTAAACAGAACATGATTTATGGGACGACTCAGTGTGTTTTCTTTTTTAATTTCTTGGGATGTCACAAAGTCATGTTGTCTCATTTGTGAATCATGGATCTCATGCTGAGAATGAAGCAACAGTCTTGAAAAGCTGAGTTTTACACAGGTCTTGTCACCATGTTAAAATATCTGAAGCCAAACCTATAATGAGAAGAGAAATGGAATAGTAACTATATTGGTTCAGTGGTATTTAATGACTTTAGAGGAGATAAGGAGCATAATTATTTCCAGTTGATGTATTTCTTGAGC